TACTGATATGATCCTAAGTGGGGGATTTTGTGATGCTAAGTGCAAGACCTTATTTTTGTGTTTTGTTTTTTCTTATATAGTATTGTGTTGTTATTTATTTTACACATATCATGATAATGATGACTATTATGATGTGAATGTCATGGTAATATGTTATGTTTTCAAAATGAATATGAAAACCTAGCTTTGAAAGGTAGGTGTCTCTTAAAATATTTGTGAAACCATGGATAATATTTGTGACATCTATCATGTGCATTATAAATTGTTTTATAAAGTTCTTAGTATACCCATCTAGTGGAGATCATAAAGGATTGTTAAGGTTAGCTTTGGGGAGATTACTTCTAATTGGGAAATCTCAACGAGCAATGTAGATTATATGGTGATTGAGATGTACCATTATAGTTGGATGACTTTCATGAGTCACTAAGAAAGATCTTACTAGTCGAGGGTGAGGTAAATGATCGTTTGCTTGCCTTGAGTGACATATGCTTCATTCACTCCTAGTTGATATTCACAATGTTGTTTAATGGTAGCTCTTGCATATGCATTTGATTGATGATTAGGGGGGCATTGCATTAATCATATGTATGTGATTGTGTTTGGTTTAATATGCTTGAATGTTGTAACAACTTTTGTGTGTTTGTTTAACTTACAATTCTTATTGTATCTTGAATATGATATGAGATGTATCTTACTTCCTTATTTGCTATTGTTTGTGTTCTGGTTTATTGATATTTTCTAGTGAGTTTGAGCTAGATGTTGAGGATATGAACATAAACAATGGTTATGCCTCTTAGTTCAATTATGTTTGGATAAATTCTGACAAGTTATAACATCGAGGCTGTTGTTTTGGAATGTTTTATATACTTTATTTTTTGGTTAATTTCAATTGGTTTAACTTTGTATTGGGCTTTGGAGCACCAAAGTTTATTTAGTTGAGATATTTGATTTTGGTTTATATTTAAGTTTTTGTTATCAATTGTCATGTAATTTTGTTATAACTTTAAATTTTCTAACACTATAAAAAAAAACTAATAATGTAAAACTACCATTTTTTTAATTAGTTAAATTACCAAAAACTTGAAAGAAAAAAAATGCTTTTGTATTCAAGAAAATGAATTAAATGATAACTTTCATATTTCCCAGCATTCTATGCAATTAGTTTAAAATATTGCAGCAAGTCATTGTCACTACTAGGATTATCAACACAAATCACTAGTATAAAAAAGTAATGACATTCAACCTACAAAATCGATTACATGGGAACCAATTTAATAGGAACACTAGTGCAAAAAGTGTTTTTTATAATGGAAAGTTTATGACATGTGTAATTCTCGCAACGTAAAAAGTGACATGGTGTCAAAATTGTAAATAAAATAAAACATTTTATGATAGATATTGATTTACATGTCATAGAAAGTTTGTTCTATATCGGGTGAGTCAACACCATCATAGAATGTGTTGAAGAGGATTAATTTTGTAGTTGACCCCAATCTTTTTATGAAAAGTGTAATACCACCTAACATAGAAAAACTTTTTTACAACGGCTGTAACAACACCTAACATAATAAGGGGCTTAAAATTTCAGAAAACACAATTCGCACCTTTCAATTCCAAACTCTTATTTTTGGTTTTGTTACCTTTAGTTTTTCTTCGTTCTCCTTTTCTTCGTACATTCAAGTAAATTATTTTCCTCATTTACTTTCAATCTTCTTTTCTTATTTTCTAATTTTGGTTTCATTGCCTTTCCCTTTTCTTTTACTTTGATATTGTGGTGATGGAAGTGATGAATGTCGTGGCAAAAGTGGCGAACACAAAATACAATAGCAAAGAAACATGATGATGCAAGAGAATGAGAGAGAAAGAAAGTAATAGTGAATTGCAAAGAGATGCAACAATAATGAGAAGGAAAGAGTGCAACAATGAAATGTAAAGAAATGCAATGAGAGGAAACAAAGAAATATGACATCAAGAGAGAAAGAATGCGACAAAAAAATGTGAACATAGAAGAAAAATGCATGAAAGAAAAGAATTGTTAACTTAAAAAATAAACTTTTTATATCAGTTATTTTTATAATCAACATAAAAAATCAAGATTTTTTATGTCAATTATTTTTATAATCAATAAATTCAAAATTTTCTATATTATTAGAATCTATGACATGCAAATAAGCATGGATATTTTTATAAATAATATTATTACTTTTAAAATTGGTTACACTAGGAACGATTTTAAAAATAAAATCAAGTATTAAGTTATCAAATTTTACATTGGAGACATTTTAAATTGGTCATGAATAATCAAATTTGTATACTACATACCAAATTTATTAGAAGTAACCAATTTCATATGTAGTTAACAAAATCAACTTCTCGTGAACCAATTTTAAATGCTTATTATAATTTGTGAAGCATTCCTTTTGTCCCCCACTCTCATCTCACTGATAGTTGTTCTATCTTACATCCAAGTGGAGAAAACATCTAGCACCTTCTCCTCACCATCCAATTCGAACCCAACATCGCCACCACTTACCCCAACTACAAACTAAACCCCTCCCAAACCCAAATTCCACTTCTCCCGCGCCCACACATCGCTGCCACCAAGTTCGAACCCTGCGACGACGATTTCAACATCGACACACTAGTTCACAATGAATGTCAGTCTCAGCTCCTTTCTTGTTTACGCTGGAGTTTTTTATTGGTTTTTTTTCTTCTTCCCTTTCTTGTTTTTGACTGACTTTTGATATGGAAATGGTAGAGTTAGTTGTCTTGTTGACAACAACTCGTTGGTGGCATGTCGTGGCTTTTGGAATCATGGACCTGCAGGTGTCATTCTTGGTTCGGCGGTGTTCTTATTTTCAAAGTATTTTTCTTGTTGCTTTAATTGCTTTTGCATTTGTGTTGTTACATACTTATGGTTTTATGCAAATTGCATTATTACCTAGTTAAATCTAATTTTGTGCATTCTCATTGATGTAGTGGAAAACATGAAGCTAATGGAGGAAATGGGTTTCTCTTTGACTGGGTTTTAAGGTAAAGGGGCCAAGAAAGATTGAATTTTTAGGAGTGGTGGGGTTTTGCATGTTGGAATATATGGAAGCACAGTACCGACAATTTGTCAAAGAAGGGGCTGAGGGAGAGGCCGAGGATGTTTTTATTAATGTAAAAACTTATAAATCGGTTAAAACCCGATTTCAAAAGGTCACCCCTGCAACATTGGTTGTAAAATAGGTCTTGTAATCGATTTTAAAAATAAAAAAAAATTATTTAAAAGCTTATTTTGCACAGTAAATCATTACTTATAAGCTACTTTATGTTATTCGAAAAACACAAACTCTACAACTTTGAGATTCTCCAATTTAAAGTTAATAAGAATTAATTGGTGTAAAAATTTAAAAGAAAGGGGAAATTGTAAAAAGGAAGAAGAATGTGTTGATGAGAAAAAATATATATAAAAGATGGAAACAAAGAGGAAAAGGGGAAAACGAGAAAGAAGATATGAGAGAAGTGTTATATATAGGTACTATAACATATAAAATATTTCTTGTATAATAACTTAATCAAGTTGTTAATTCACTACTAGATTTTAACCTTTTAACAACATTTTCTTGTTTACATTTATTAAAATGTTATTATATATTATATAAATTAAATTTTGTAACACTTTTTTGAAAAATGTCATTATAGATATAGTAATATTTTTTATTTCAATATTATTTTTTTCAATCTTTTTCAAAATCAAAGTCCCATATCGAGTAAAAAAAATTTACATAAGTTATTTTACAACATTTTTTTGAAAAATGTTACTGTAGTTGCTTCTAAAATCAAAGTCCCACATCGAGTCAAAAAAAATATATTTCTCTTATATCTAATTGTAACCCATAATTAAAGTCTCACATCGAATAGATTAATAACTCATAAAAAGTATATATACTCATATAGTTATATTTAAGATAAATAAAATTTGATATTTTATATATAATTAGTGGTGACTAACTAAAAATTTTTTTCCCTAAAAACTTAAGGAATTCCTAGAAGTTTAGGAGACATATCAATATAATAATTGATAGTAATATTTAAATTAAAATTAATTATTATTTTATAAGATTAACAAAATATTGGCAACATCATTAAAATATTACAAAAAATTATTAAAATGTTACAAAAATACTACTTTGATAATATTTAAAAAATGTTACATAATTATGCAAAAATGTTACTAAAAGTCTTTAGCAACATTGATTATATACAACATTTGATAATATGTTACTAAAACAAATTAGCAACATTTATACATAATTAAGTAACATTTTTCAAATGTTGCTAAATACCATTTGTGTTGTAGTGATTTTTAGGTACTCGAATTAGAATGTAAAAATTATATAAACATAAAGATCAAAATGTAAAATTACCTGTACATAGACTAAAATGTAAAGTGTAGCACACACATCAACATCAAGATAGTGTCATGTCTTCTATTATTATCAAGGTTAACTTTTTTTTTTTCAAGACTAAAATAGATTTGAAAGTATTAAATACCAAAATCAAATTCGTATCTTTTATCATCTAAAAAAAATTACATTACTTTTAATTTATATTTTTTAAAAATCAATTTTACAAATTTAAATTGATTTAAAATCAATTATATAACGCATATCTAAACACACTAACACGTTTATAAATGTTTAGGTTGAAAGTAGGCACGGGTGCATAACACAATGTATATTTAAATGAACGGGTTGGCCAAAAGCCGTAAACCGATAATTATGATTTGCTTTAATTAACTAATTGTTCAGCGTTTATAAAGTAAAATAATAGTGCTGGCACGTGAAGTAGTACATTAGTCACGGGCTCATTGCAGTGTTGAAGCCTGTGCATGTTTGCTTTCTTTTTTATTATTTAATTGAATCTGTTTTCCTCTAGTTGGGCATGACAGAAGTCAGAATTAGAAGGACACAGTAAGCTGTTGATCTCAATCACCAAAAAAGACAAGGAAGAAATAAAATAAGTACTTGTAATATTAATCATTTATAGGTCAAATAAATAACACTATCATCTTTGATTCCTTTTGCTAAGAAAGCATTGGGGATTTATTTAATGTTACACTTTGGCCTGATAAAATAAACACTACAGGGACAGAATAACGAGAAGTTAACCATGCATGCACTACTAGAATCACACCTTGATCAATGGGATTTGGAAGAAGAAGAAAAAAAAAGCAACGAAAAGGCACAAGTAGCAAACACGAAGCAAGTTGTGCTTAGACCATGCCATGATTAGGCACATTGGAAGTCGCGTGGGGCTTGCATTGAGCAAACATTAAGAAGCAAGCTGAGTGAGATGGGAAGGTTGAGGTTGATGCCCAAAATGTTAGCTTTGAGGGCAGTGCAAAGGCACACTGCAGCCTCAAGATCAACTAGACCGTTAAGGAGGGAGCAACAAGGGGCAACTGGTGGTTGACCCAAAGTCACGTTTAGCAACCCGTTTAACACATTGGCACATACACCTAGTTTGAGTGCATCACGGGGGCATGAAGTACCAGAACCACCCGAGCCACCTGAACCACCAGAGCCACCTGAGCCTCCCGAGCCACCTGAACCTCCCGAGCCACCTGAACCACCTGAACCGCCAGATCCACCTGAAGGGCTTGGCTTGACATGCTTGTGATGCCTTGGCTTTGGCTTTGGGCTAGGGCAGGTCCCGCAAGAAGAGACAAGGGCAAAGAAGAGGAGGTTGAGTGTGAGGAAAAGAGCAAGGGAAGAGCAAGTTTTGGAACCCATCTTAAACCCTAGTAGTAGTAGTTGTTGTTTTCTTCAACTCGTGACTACTTAACTACCAGAGCTTTGAGAGAAGAGTGTTTGTAGGGATGGGAGTTATTTGCACTTAATGGTGGTTTATATAGTGTTTTCGAACGCCAAGTGGGGTGAATTGTTTAGGTGTAAAATAGTTAAACGCGCGAGTTTGGAAAAGATGATTTAAAAATAAAGGTTTGGGAGAAATGAAGTTACGGAAAAATGAATGATTTTTAGCTGGCTGGGAAAACCCGACTTAGGTTTTGGATGCTTGTATATTTTTTTATTAAACTAAATAATTTATAGTTGAAGCCTATTTTTTTTAATATAGACATTATTAAAATGAGTTTTTGTCTTTTATGACAAAGTCTTTTCATCAAACCTCTCCCTCGGAATAATAATAATAATAATAATAATTAACAAAGGGCAGAAAAGTATTTTGATATGTAAGTTTTTTCTTTAAATCTTTTAATAATCATCCACTACTTCACTAAAATTTGTACTTATATATATATATATATTAATTTTTTAATAGATTTAAAATTTAAGCTTTAATAGACTTAATCCTGACTCAACTCTGTTTCATTAATGTTGTCACTAACACGGTGATTACCTAATCATGGCAGCAGCGAACAATTACCCTTCGTTTGGCACACTCGAAATTGGCAAAGAAATGGGAAAGAGGACAGTGAAACAACAAAGAAATTAAATTAAAAAAAAAAGGGACAATTGTTTGGTAGCAAAGAAACAAACGAGAGAAGAAATAAAAAGGCATAATTCTTTTTTCACAAATCAATGGAAAAATAAACATTACATACCTTAAAATTCTTTCATACTCGATTAACTGGGTGCCGCAATCGGTTGAACCATTTTATATACGTGCAATTGTAAATGTTTTTTTATTTAATTGATTTTTTTTTTCTTTAATCGATTAAACAAAAAAGATAGTTGATTATTGCTTCCTACTTTTTTAAATTGAATGTTTTTTGGTTAGTTTTTTTTTATCGAATAATTACTTTTGTTTAATCAATTGAATATGCTACACATATTCAACACAATCGACTGGCTATATTTTAATTTTTCAACTTAATATTATTAAGATAAAAAAAATTAATTAAATAATAATTAAAATGATTTTTATAATTTTTCTTTCTTTTTTATTTTTTTCT